TTTCTGCGGGAGAGTTAAGTGTAACGCGGTGACCTTGAGGCTCGTCCTGCCTCCGTGCCCCGGCACTCGAGCCCAGGAGCGGCAGGATTTGGGCAGCTGCAGTTCAGGCTCATGGTCTTTATCCCTCCTGTGTGCACTCATGGCCTCGTTTCTGCTGTTTCTTGTCCTGCTTCTCTCGGGAAATGTCATGAAGCTGTTTCTAAAGGAGTTGTTTGCACTGGCTTGTTAGGGCGCGAGGAGCTCAGTGCTCCTAGCACCAAAATGCTGGTGTAGAAGGAGGTTTCTCAGCCCCAGCCACAACACAGAAGAGCCTGTTTCTGGCCAGGAATTAGTGGTGCCCAAAATTAAACCTGCAGCTGTGGACCGGGCTCAAAGATCCCGGGTGAAAACGAGGGGGTTCCCAAACAGGGCTCCAGGACAGTGGTGTCAAGGGGCACAGAATCCGAAACGGGAGCTGATCGGACTGCAAAAAATAGATATATATATTTTTTTCTGATGAATGCTCTTTCTGGTGGAAAAAATAGGTCAGCGAGGAGGCTCCATCTTGGCACTTCCACTTCATCAGCTCCCCGTGCTCCTCCCCTTCCTTCCTGCCTCTCCCCGTCCCGCTGGTTCTTCCGTGCGGCTGCTCCTGCCCGAAAGCCTTTTTTTTCTCCGACTTGAGGTCGTGCCCGCAAGTTTCAGATCGTGCTTCTCCTTTCTGCAGACTTAGTTTTCTGTACAAGAAGCTTGGCTGGAGGGTTCTGCTTCACAGCAGCCATAACATTTCACAGCTTGACAATAAGGGAAGGGAAATGAGTTGCATAAGAGATATAGGTTATTTATAAGCTCCAAACCAAAGCCTATACCTAAATAAAATAAAATAAAATGAAATCCATCCCCATCCATTATATGACCTAAATGATTTTTTTTTAAGTTCCTAAAGTTTTAGTATCTTGTATCAGGTACAAATAAAATGTAGTCCTGGCAGCTTCTTTGCAGTCCCAAATCTAAGCTCTGGCTCGAGTACCTTTTTGTGTTTTGGAATGGTCTGCAAAATGCAAGTTCCTCACAGGGCCTATTTTTAGAGATGGGAGGATAGTGTAGCCTCAGTGTCACTTTTTATTAAACACTAAGGGATATTATTATCTTCTCAGCTCTGGAATTTCCCGAGCAGCATAACAGTATTCAAATACGCTGAATATTTCTCAGGAAGCAGAGATGCTTGCCAGCCTCCCTTGCTTGGCACATTAATCCCTTTAGCTTCTGGATAACTGGCTCATAACTTCAGGATCAGTCTCAAATACGGCTTGAGCCACGTGTCCCAGGAAGGAAATCCACCATGGAGAGCGTTAATTGTGTCAAGGCGAAAAGGGAGATACTTATGGAGCTTCCAAGGTTTGAACCGAGGAGAATGAAATAATAGCTTATTGGGACTTATTAATAATAATAATAATGTTTGAGTTTCTGGGAGGAAGAGAACACCAAGCATTTTTGAGTGGGCACCGGCTCATGCTTGGACAAGAGGATTTCCTGCCTTTCTTCTCAAAAGTCCAAATACCCAACGGAGAGGCCGACCACTTCCGCAAGGTGTCGGCGAAGAGGGACCCTTCCCGTGAGCCGGTTCCCGTGCTCCAGGCAAGACATCCTTCATCTTTCCCACCATCTTCCACCTGGTAAATGCCTGCATAAGAAAAGGAGAAGGCCCCGGCTCTTCCTCCCAGCTCGGAGGGCTCTGTGCTGCTCTGGAGAGAGGCTCTGTCTGAATTTCCCGTCCTGGCTGTTGATGCCCGCCTGGTTTTGTGCTGGTTATTCCGGCACTGCCTCCCGACTGCACAGAAACTCAAAATGGGCATCAGGATGTGGCCGTTCTGCATGCTGCCCTGCACTTCCTGCAGCAGCTCCACTCACGAACGCCGTGGTGGCTGCGCGGGAGAGCTCTCTGCAAAGCCCTCAGGTGCACAGCAGATGTTGGAGAGAACGGAGGGGAAAAAAGGGCGGGGGGGCAGGAAAGGAGAAATCCCCCAACCGGTGTTTCCTAACGGCCGCGTCGGCAGCGGAGCGCGGTGGCCGCG